ATTCCGTAAAGTGGCTCAATTTCTAAGCCTTGGCAACTAATTTTTTTTTTTAAATAAAATTTTGAACACTGGGCCAGGCTAAACCTCTGGGCTCGATTTTATCTGGGCCAGTTGGGAAACGGTGCCCTAAAAGAACCCTGCTCCTCTCACGGTCCCATGCCTCTGAAAAGGGCACCTCTCCTGTTGAATGTAGGCAGTAGGATCTCCCTACAACAGGGTACACATTTATCTTAGACACCCACTGCTGGCTAACCCTCAACTCTCCTTCATTTAAAGGGGGCAGAGGGGAGGCCAGAAGTTGAAAATCCTACACAGATCATGCTCAAGATTTTAATTTGTCCAGGAAACAGTTAATCTTGTGACTCTTGGGGGCTAATCAAAGTTCATAGATGGGGGTTCGGGAGGGAATGTGGAAAGGGGATGAATCCACTTCCTTGACCACCAGCCCCTTCTCTTGCCCATCCCCACCTCTTAACCTCCAACACACGTGCACATCAACATGCCTTTTCAAATGTAGCATTTAAATTCGTTTGGTGGGAGATGCAAAGATAAGGAAACTCCAGAAACACATTTCCCTATCTTGTGTCAGGGTTTTAAGGAAAACACACCAAGCCCCAGACCCTCCATTCAGTGCTCCCATCCTAAACTTAAAGCCACCTTGCTTTCCCTCCCTCCCTTCTCTCTCTCTCTCATTCTCTCTCTCCCCTCACCTAAATATTTCTTAATTGAACGGTTTGCTGTGGAGCTTCCTTATAGCAGTTTAATAGATTAACTCATCTGAGCCAGCCTCAAATTTCAGATTAAAATTCCTTCATCCCGAAGGCAGCATTATCAGGTTGTTGGAGGCTGTTTTCAAACCTTGGTTTTGAATAGCAGCGGCTCTGCATTAATTTAACCACTAAGCTAATAAGTAGGTTTCGTTTTGTTATGCTAAGCTTTATTGCTTTTCTTTTGATCAGAATGGTGTTGTTGAGCAAAGCAGCAGACAAGGCATTCTTTGATGAGGGAATTAGCGCTCCATTCTTCCTCTATTATTCATAGCACAGTGGAATATGTAAGTACCTGAGGGTGTCAAAGGAGCGCAGGTTCTATTGCAAAGTGCTCGCCTTGTTTCTCTCAATAGCTGACTATGAGATGATAAACCGCTTAATACACTGTGCTAATTGGATGAGAGCAAAAAGAGATGGGAATTAAGGCGAGGCAAAAGGAGAAAGTGCAGCGAGCCTTCAATTCACTCTTTCACCGCTTTACCAGCCCCAAAGGAGGCACAAGCTTTCGATAAGCAGACTAGAGGTTTTGTGCGGAGATGAAATGAACGTGTTAGTGGATTCAAGTAATACACTAATTATTGCACAGTATAAATACCACTACTGGTTTTATAACAGGGAGGTAAACTTCTTTTGAGAGGGTTATAGGATTGCTTGGCAGTGGTGTAGAACCTAATAAGGGCCCAGAGTAATAACCCCCTGGATTAACAAAATTGCTGCTTGTAGAAGTATGATTCAGGCTTTTACGAAGATTTCCGGAGCATGAATAAAAATGACTGAATGACATTTCTTAATGTATAACTGGTAATCGCTCCCTTTTCTTTAAAGGAAAAAATGTATACTTCAAAGTGGACCGTTAATAACGTCCAGAGACAACACAACTTTTTCCTTTGTAAAAGGCTTTTTCTCCCCCACCCGGTCAGGTAGCGGGTTTCCTCCTCCCCGCCCCCCAGCCAGCCTAGTGCTGGCGGTGAAATATGCAGTTGCTCCATGGGACTCAGGGTTCCAAAATAGCCTTTTAGGCCCCATTTAAGACCCCCCTTCATCCACACACACTGTTGTGTATACACATGCACACATGCTCACGTACACATTTTTTTTTTCCCTCTAAACGCAAGCTCCACGAGCCCATGTACAATTTCCTTCCCTCTAACATCAGCCCCCCTCTTCCAATCCGGTAAGATTTCCGCACTCAAAATGATACGAAAAGGAGAACCACGGGTGCCTCATCTCTGGGTTCTACAAATGCAAAACAACAGTAATAAATGTTTGCCCCAATTAGGGAGGAGGAGTGGGCTAATAGGAGAAAAAAAAATGGGAAACTGACTGGGGCCAATAACCGGTGACTTTAGCTGAAGTCTGAGTTTCAAGTCCCAAGTCGTGCCAAACCTTCTCCAATAGTTCCTCTCTCTAATTCGCATTCCTTCCGTTTTCCCCACCACAAACCTACGATGCCCGCCCCAACTGTCCACGCTCCAGGCCATGGGTGGTTGGTGACAGAAGAACACAGGGGCACCTTCTGATAATATTATGGTGCATATTATGCCCTTCTTGCCTTTCCTTCCAGGGCCTCATCCAGACCCGGCTAGCCTGTCTGAAAATGTAGCAAGTTAACTTTCCCCTTCCCCTCATCCTTCCCACAGAGGCTCCCAATCACCCCTCATCCCAGGACTCTGTAGGGGTGGCCCTGGGAAAGCAGGTGGTGGGGCATTCTGCCCTAGGTGTGACGGGGGACAGCCATGCCCCCATCGCAGGGGCTCTCCTGAACTCCCCTGGGCTCGGCATGTCCTCCGCGGTGGAAGAGGTTTGCCTAAGGTTGGGGGTGGGGGTCAGCCGCTCCCAGCATTGTGACCGCGTTCCCAGATATTGGGGCCAAATTGGGTTGCCATTCATTAATAATGCTCACAATAAGATTAAATCATTCTGGAAAATCTCATAAAATCCCCCTAAGTACGCTCCAGTGGCTCTTTCCAATCCCCATCATTCAGCACTTGGGGAGGTTTGGAAGGAGAAGAAAATTGGTTTCTTTGCTTTTAATGCTTCTTTGAAAAGATACTCAGAGTTTGTCATGCGTGACATGTCACATGTTTAATGTGGACTTGCTGGAAGTCAGGGGGTCTTTAGCGTGTGATATTTATGGGGAATATTAAGTGCAGAATGAGGTCCCTCCAGCTGGGGAAAGTTGAAAGAATAGGAGGCCCAGGACCGGGCTTGTTTGCGGCATCAGAATGACATAGGATTAAGAGTTTGTAAAACAAGGCGAGGGGTTCTCATTGGCCAGTAATAAATGTAATCCTTGGAGGTAATTTCACGCAATTTGCTTCTGCTCCATGGAAGGGTCAAATGAGAAAAAATGACTTAAAAAAGAGTTCATTAACAGGAAGAATGGTACTGTTTCTCGTATACCATCCAACTGGCAGCCTGGAGAGGAAAAAAAGCCGTACCTAAACAAAAAGCCAAAATCGACGGAAAATTGATATTGACCACCAAAAAAAAAAAAACAAAAAAAAACCTTTCCCTCACTCCCTCTTCTCCTGCACTCCCCCATCCCCACCTCCAAACTCCAGAGTAACCCTGCCCACGCCAGGAAGGGGCCTTCACACCCGGAGAGCCGGTGGAGCCTGGGGGTTTGAGGCACTCAGATCTCCAGGGGATGCCCTAGAAAGTTCCCGCCGGGCCTGCTAAAGTCGAGAAAGGAGTGCGTGGCCGCAGTGGCCGAGGAGAGGTGGTGGGCGGCCTGCTCCCCCACCCCGCCATGCCCCAGGCCGGGCTTCTGCTTTCGAGCTCCGCCCTTTGCGAGTCCGGAGCCGGGGCTCGGCGGCGGTGGCCCACCCGATGGCCCAGGGCCCGCGAAGCCCGTGGGCGCGCTCCCCAAAGTTCCCAGCAGGCGAGGGCTCCGGATTTCAGGGCCGGGTGGGCTAGCCGAGGACACCCGGGCCTGAGCGCGGCAGCTGCCGAGCGGGTTACCCCCCCCCCCCACGCCCCGAGTTGCCGCCGACCTCTGCCCGACCGCGCACCTGCCCCTCGGCCGCGCACACTTGCGCTCCCCAGCCGCAGGGGGACCCGCCCCCCCTTCTGCAGGGCGCGGCCCGGGAGCGCGCGCGGAGCTCGACGGCCGGCCCGGAGACTCGCCCCCGCCCCCCGCGGCGCCCGACTGGCCCACGGCCTGGCGGGGCGGCTGGCACCCGCTCCGCGAGCCCGGTAGTCACGCCGCGGCAGCACCCCACCCCCCGCCTGCCCCTCTCCCCAAAGGTCCGGCGCGCTAATTACTACAAATTGAAACTAATTAAGCTTCTCTTCCCTTTCCCATCACCCTGGGAGCGTCGGCGAGACCCAGCCCCCGCGGGCGGGCTTACCCCGCGGTCACCGGGAGGGGCGCAGGAAGGGCGGGGGGCGGGGGGGCGGGGGGGCGAAGCCACGGTTCCCGGCGCGGGGAGGAGGGCGCCGAGGGGGTTACAGATTGCAAATCTGTGCGGGTCTCCTCTCAAGAAACCTGAGTTGTTTAGATTTTTTAAAATGTATACATTTCCCAGTGCCTGGATAAGTGATGTAATGACATTTGTCGAGTTAAGATCTGCCACTTGGATACCCCTCGCTGCCTTTCCATCACTGTTTCTGCGTTCCTCTCTCTCTCCCTCTCCCTCTCCCCCTCTCGGTCTCCTCTCTCTCTCTCTCTCTCTCTCTCTCATACACACACACACACGCGCGCGCGCGCGCGCGCGCGCACGCACCCTCCTCCCCGCGGGTATACTGTGGAGCCCGCCCCCTCGGAAGCCAGCGCTTCGGCTTCTTGCTCTCGCCATTACCTGTCATCTCGGACTGCGCACTTCCTTGCTACGTGGCACTTTCCACGAACAGTTTCCTTCACCTTCCGAGCCGATACTCTCGCTCGCTTCACATTTCTATCTCCACCGTCAACAACACCTACCGTCCACCAACCGCCCCCCCTCGGGCCCACCCCACGTCCGTAGCCCCGGACCCTCAGCGTCCGCTGAGACACGACCCGGGGGAGCCGAGATGCGGCGGAAAGTGCTGCGGCGGCGTCCTTAACTTATGGAAGGAAACCCGAATCCCTTTGAGGATCACATTCAAACCGGGGGCCTCTGCCAGGAAAACGCGCTTGCAGATGAACCGAGGAGGTGCCGGGGCGCCAGAGCCCACCCCTGGCCTCTGGCGGGCCCCGGGTCTGCCGACCCCACAGCGCCTGCATAGAGCATTCACACTTCCTTTTGTTAAACATATAATTTTTTTTTTATTTTGAGCGTGACACTTCTCCACTAGATAGCAAGGAAAAGTGATAACAATTACACATTACACAAAAGTACTGTACCATTGCCTTTATCTTGAAGGTTTCGGAAGCCTCTACAGTTAATAAGTTAAATAAAGGGCTTGAGTACATAAATATTTGTCTAGGAACCCTACCGTATCTACAACACAGTAAGAATCTACAGGAGGACGGACTTTTACCATACCACGCTGAGTGCAATTGCGTTATAACATTTCAAATATACAAAGCTCTGTTCTTTTTTTTTTTTTAATAACAATGGTATGTACAGAATCAATAATCACAGTTTGGTGACTTCAACAGTCCATATTCTAGCAGAGTATTTCCCTTTGGTTTGATATAAAAACCTTGGTTGGTGTATGATAAAGAAGAGAACAAGAACAAGACGCCCCTTTCTGTTAAGTGCACTGTTAGCTATCTTACAGATTCGCATTCGCTTCCCTGGCCCTGGCTTCACACCGGGGCCCACGCTGGGGAGATCAACTTAGAGCGCCAAAATGCTGTTAAAAAAAAAAAGCTAAGTGGGGTGCCAGGAGGAAGGGGGGTTGGGTTTTTAAATTTTTTAACTTCAGTACCAGGCGTCTTGGAGAGAAAACCTCCCCGATATTTTCAGCAAAATAAGAACGGGAGAGAGTGGACGTTAGAGGGGGAGCGAGGTTGGCAGTGGCGGGGACAGGGGGCAGGGGCAAGGGCAGGGGCGGGTGGACAGCCAGCCGAGGAGGTGCCACGTCCGGGAGCGCCAGGGGCTGCCTTGCCCGCATCCAGGCTGCTGCGAAGGCGGCTGCGCTCTCTCAGTGCCGTCTCGGGAGTGTGCTGGTCCTCTGTTTCCATTTGGTCTTGAGTGGTGCTGAGTGAGGTGACCTTTCGGGGTGCGCCCGGGGCGCGAGGGTGGAGGGCAGCCTTTAGCACACCTCCTTGCCCGTGCTGGTGCCCGGCAGGATGTTGAGCTGCGTGAGCTGCGCGGCGTGCTCCTTGGCCTTGAGCCTCAGCGCCGCTATGCTAGAGGCGCGTCTGTCTGCGGCCGCGGTGGCCGGGTCGGCCAGCGCGCCCGACGCCACCGCGCCCTCCACGGCCGGCGTGGGCTGTCTCAGGAGCGCGGCCGCGGTCGACGCGCTGGTCAGGGGGGCCATGGTGGAAAAGAGCCTGCAGGGAGAGCAAACAGCGCGGTCACGGCCTCGGGAGCTGAGCGCGGCGCCGGGCGGGGGAGGAGGGGCGTAGGAGGGGGTGGGGGTAGGCAGCGTTTCCCGCCGCCTCTCACCGGGAGAGCAGAGGGCCACACAGGGGTGCAGACGGGCGCCGCCGCAAGAAGCCTGGAGTCGCAGGGCTAGGGTGGGCCACGGGCTGGGGAGCAGATGGGAGCATGGGTGGGAGGCTAGGGTGCTCCGAGAGGACTTTACTAGAGGAGGGAACCGACGGAGGGGGCGGGGAGTGGGTGGAAAGGCCAAAGGGCCTGGTATTCTGAAAGGATCAGGGCCAGGGCGGAGGCAGGTCCTGTGGCCCAAAAGCTAACGGCCCAATCGCCTGGATTCTGTGCTTTCTCCTAAGAAGGGACTGTATTCTCAGACGGGGAGCTCCCATTGCCAGGGGAGAGAAGAAAGACAAGGAGAAAGAGGAGAAGAGAGATAGAGGGAGGAATAAAAAAAAAGAGAAAGAAGGGAGAAGGTGGAGTCAAAACTGATCAAGACGTACGCTGCAGACTTTGTACTCTCCCTAGGGCGCCTTCTCGGCCCGGGGACTCCTTTTGCCTGGAAAAGCTGGCCTGGTTTGCTGGCCTTGCCGCCGACCGGGCCACCCTCCCGCGCCAGACTGAGCCGCCGGTGCCCAGCCAACGACCGCGAGGTGGGGGTGGGGGGCGCCCGCCTGTTGATTTCCGCTCGACAGGCCACTCTGACCCGCCAGCCGCCCCGCGTCCCGGCGCGGCGACACTCTTGCCCCGTCGGCTTCCCTGCGTCCTGCAGCCTCGTGCCCCAGAGAGCCCCCGAACCCGCGACCCCTGCGCGCGGTGCACGGCGACGCGCAAGCCTGGGCTCCCAAGCCTGGGATTCCAGTCCGTGCCACCAACTCCAGGCGGCGCCGGGATTGCTTCTCGCCGCGCCTCCACCCCCTTCGCACAGCACAGCGGACCTGCAGCTGAGGCCAGAGCCACCCCTGGCCACCCGACACTACCACCCCCAGGCCCCCCTCATGTCCCTTCCCCCCCTCCCCCGCCCGCAGGGTTCTGGCTCCGAACTCCTGCAGGGCCGACTCGGAGTTTCCAGGATTAGAAATGCGCCCACTAGGGTTCGAGGAGAGCCTCCTGCTTCTCCCAAGCCCCCCTCCACCCCTCATGCCACCCCCACCGCACTCCTCTTGCAGCCTCTCCAAATCTCGAAGTCTGGTACTCCAGCCGTGGTTTGCCAGCTTCTACAAGTCACTTGTCGGAAGGAAAAGGGAGCGGGGGGGGGGGGACGGGGGTGGTTCGGGGGACACAGGACTTAAAGTTGTTTTCCCAGAAAAACTTAAAGTGTGGCCTGGAGGGGGTGTACGATGCCCTGGTTCCATAGGTAAACTGAGTCACTAACTACACTTCAGTGCACTCGCTGGTTATTTTATCAGTTTGTTACACGAAACTACTTTTACTTAGTGTCTTTTTTTGAAACTTTTCTCTAAAAGATGATTTTTGTTAAGTGGCTGCGCAGTTGGATGAATCTGTTATTTCTTTGTTCTCCCAAAGAGAGATCACTGAAGCTGCATTCAGTTTTATTTTCACTGCACTTTCCAACTTAGTACATCCCTCCTTTGTTTCTTTGTCTGGGTGATTATACAGACTTTTTATTTCATCATTCGATGTTCATTTAAAGAAAGGGAATTATAATATACGATGAACTGTTTCTTTTATTTCGTTGTCTTGTGCCGCCGTGCGGGTCGGGGGTTGCACATATGGGGGTATGGTTGGCAGCGGGTCACTTGAGTGACAGGGAAGTTAGAGTCTGGGGAAGAAGAAAGAATTCTTTGCACCCAGAGGGCCGGTGGCTCCAGGGCTCCTGTGGAAACCAGAGCTGTGTTCCTCTGCCAGGCTTTGGAGCATGGGGAAGGATTTTTGCAAAATTTGAAGAGTCCTCCCAGCTCTGTAGGCTACACGTGTACACGGTTACACACATAACCACCTATGGCCTGAGCGATTGCTGCCTTCAACTGGTACTTTTACAGCTTTCAATGAACACTCCCAGTTGTCACGGCTGTTGTTACTGCCACCGCCCTCCCCTTTGCTGCTCCGTCCCAAGTCATTCCCTTCAAGAGCCACACTGTTTGAGGCAAAATTAGAGAGTATTTTCTTTGGCTAAATCTCTGGGAGTTGGCCAAAGAGCGAAGATGTGGAGCTGCTGCCTGTCTCCTGTCTCCGGCCTCCTCCCTGACCCCAGCCTCTGTGTGTGTATGAGACAGACAGACAGACAGACTCCCCGAGGCCGCGCGTTACCTGCCGAACGCAGGGCTGATGAAGGCCGGGTGTCGGAACACAGCGGCTCCGAGGAAAGTGCTCAGGCCCAGCGGCGCCCCGCTGGGCGGCAGGCTGGCCGAGCCAGGAGGCGGAGGTAGGCTCGGGAAGGCGGCGGCGGCGGCGGCGGCGGCGGCCGTCCAGGCCGAGTCGAGCGCTGGGTGGTGCGGAGGGAAGGGGCTGGCGTCCAGGTAGGGGCTCAGCGGGTGGGTGGCCGAGAGCGGCCCGGGGAAGGGCAGCCCGGGAGGATGGGTCTGCGCGCCCGCCTTCTCCCGCTTGCGCCACTTTGCCCGACGGTTCTGGAACCAGACCTGCAAGGCGGAGAGAGCCGGGGTCGGCGGGCCGCTGGGTGGGGGGGGGGGGCGGGGGGGGGAGCGCGCCCCGGCCTCCTCCCCACCCTCCTTAGTGCTGCGGGGGCCCCTCCTTTCCACCGAGGCCGGCGCCCACTCGCCCCTCTCTGGCCTCAGGTTATTCGAAGACACCTCTGGGGGCCAAACAAACTGGTGGCGAAAAGGAGCCCAAACTTAAAGCCAGCAGGAAACACGGGGCAAGCAAAGCCTTTCCAGCGCGTATTTCAAACAGCCTAGTTCTTTTCCAAAGTTGGAAGAAAGTAGTCCCGTGTGTTTAGAGATGGGGAAACCGAGGTTTAAACGTCTGCGCTGCCATCTGCTTGCAGTGCATCTCTAGACACATCGCTTAAAAACCTCTCAACCTCAGTTTTCTAATCTGTAAAATGGTGATAATAAAACTTCACTCATAAGGCTGTTATGTGGAATGAATAACCTAAAGCATGTGAAAGCTCGCCTTGGACAGTGACTCTTGGCAGTGGGCAGCCACCCAGAGAGGAACAAATATCGGTTCTCTGCTGCATACCAGCGGGTTCCGCCTATTTCAGGTTTACCCAAGAGCTGGCAAAATCCCTGCTGTGTGGAAAAGGGGATCTCAGGGAGGCGGTTCATTTATTCTTTCCAGAAATATTTATTGAACACCTAAGAGTACTAAGCTGGATTCTGGGGCTTGGGGAAAAGCTGGGCAGGAGGGAAAAGCTGGGTTTGCCCCAGCAAACAAGCATACATTGGGGGGGGGGGGTTGTCCGGGAAAGGGAATCTGGAGCCTGGGGCCTGCTCTCTGCGGGGGCTCTATGCAGGGCCTGGTTCTAGCCAGGAAGGCACTGCCTGCCAGGCCCAGGTACGCAGCAATCCCTGGACAAATAGAAATCAGAGTGCGGGCTACCTGTAGACTTTACACATCTTCAGAGCTAACAGGCCCTTGATTTCTTTGCGGGATGTGGTTTAAATAGGTTATTTAAATAAGAGAGTTCTAGGCTTGGGGGAGTTTCCAGCACAAGGTATCTTCCTAATTGTTAATAGAAAGCAGTTTTAGTAGAGACCTTTACCTGAAATGTGGCAGCTACCATGGTCTAAAAATAACTCCCAGGAGCATGAAATTATTTTTATGTGACCTGCTCATCACACCCACAGCTAATAAGATATGCTCCTTCTCCCCTGAAGGCATTAATATTTTTAGGCTTGGGTTGATGCCTGCACACAAGTCTAAAAATTAAGAATGAACTCCAGGGCTATACAGAGTTATATGAAAATATAATGTAAATGATCCCAGAGGACTTTGTGTGTGTGTTTTTTTTAATGTGAAGACATCCGTGCCTTTCATATATACACACTTGGAGCTTGTCGTAGTGGCCCTGGTGTCTAAGCTGGGCTTCACTTCTAGACAGCCACCTTTGGCAAGAGAAATCAAGAATCCACATCGGTTGATTATTTCAAATTCTGCTGAAAGGGGACCCATCCATAGGATTCCACAGCCCTCAAACAATCTATTTGTGAATTGGAGAAACACTGTAGTGTGGAAATTCAGAGGCTTGAAAAAGTTAAGACTAGATGGGACCAGGCTGGGTGGGTAGCTTTTGTGTATCCAAATCTGTCTAGACGAGAGTATCCACCACTCTTCGATGGCAGTGAAAGGAGTAAAGGAGGGGAGGCGGGCAGCGGAGGCAGAATGCCCTCAAAGAACGTGGAAACCTTTTGCAGACAGATCGTCTCTCCCGGCTCAACTGCAGTCATCAAGATGTCCCCCTGCAATTCCTCATTATTGAATTAATACCTCTGAGGCCTCCAAAGGTAAACGAAAGGACTCTAATAATTCATATTCACTTAATTACATCTTCTCCAGTGAATAGGGAGAGAGGAGAAGGGGAGGGGGCGCTCTCTTTCTTTTTAAAAGTTATTTAACTTTCCCACGACTCGTTCCCCTGAGCTGAAAATACGGAGTTGCTGTCACATCTCTGTTTGACAATGGAGAAATGTGTCAACAGAAAGGAGGGGACAGGCCTCATCATTAGCCCTCTAATGCAAGAAGCTGTTGTGTATTAAATGAGCCATATGGAATTTATTGTGCTTTATCAGCGCTTGATTTTGACTGTAAAGTGATTCACTCAGCTCCTAACCCAGGGACATCTGTTTTCTGTTGGCCACCGGGGCTGCCCAGTGTTGATCGTCTCTCTGGTTATGAGGCCTGGGTTCGGAAATGCACTCTGGTATGGGGCAGCAAACACCTTTAATAGCATTGCACTCACTCCCTATTAGATCAATGTGGGCTCATTGCTATAAAAAATGGGAAATCAAATAGCATTAGCCAGCTCCTTGTGCGGGCGGAGGGAAAATCAAACAGCATTTTGCCTTCAAATGGCCCTGTTTGTTCTAGCACTAAGTGGGCTTTTATGAAGCCCGATTGGAGACTTAATCGCAGCCAAATACCTGCTTGGAGCTGAGCGGATTTGTCTAACAACCAAATCCATGCTCCATCCCATTATTTCAATCAGGAGAAGTCAGTCCTCCGATTGTTTCCTACAGGGGCGGTGGAACCAGGGGGCTCCTGACTGCCGCGCAGGGACCCTGAAACCCCTCTTCTGATCCTGGACTCACTCCTTCCTCAAGGCTCCCAAACCCAGAAACCTTCCCCTCCAACCTCCCAGCTCTTCACATTTTCATCTTTTTGTGCATGAGTGTTTGGGTCTATCTTTTTCTGATTCTGCTTTTCTTCATTTTATGAAGGGGGTCTCACCCCCCCAACCCATCCCCCCCCCCCCTCTCCCCCCCCTCTCCCCCCCCCTCCCCCTCCCTCCTCTCTGTCCCTGTGGTGCAGCTCACCTGGACTCGGGCCTCCGTCAAGTCCAGCCTCATGGCCAATTCCTCCCTGTAAGAAAGCAACACACAGACAGGAGGTCACAGCTGGCTCCGGCAAGCCCTCTCAGCCACCTTCCCCTTGCTGGCAGGCCTCCTCCATTAGGGTCTCCCCTGGCTGCCCGCCCTCACCCCCAAACAGATGGGCATCGTGATTCCTTCACCACCGAAGTGCCTGCTATTTGATTGAAAACATAAAAATACACAGCGCATCGCTGGATATAGGATATTATATCGTATCAGACTATATTCACGAGGGACAAGGGAGGGCTTCTTGAGTCCGTAAGCCTAACTGGGTCCTCGGATTTGCCCCCACTCTCCCTTAAGCCAGAGTTGGACAAAAAACACACAGGCACACAATGCTTACGGCCTCTTCTGTCCTAACATTACATGGGAGAACTCGGTATTCAACCAAAAATGTTCTTCCTGCCCTTGGTGTCTCTCTGCCTTGAAAATTTTTCTTCTGCCTCCCTCCCCCCCCTTCTCTCCCCCCCCCCCCGCTTCTCTCTCTCTCTCCCTCTCCAGCTCTTTGCCTTTCCCTCCATCTCTCTATCCACCGCCCCCCCCCCCGCCTCTCTCCCTCCCTCTCCCCTTAGGTCAGACTCTCCATTACCCTCTGGAGATATGTTAAGCTTGTTAAGAGTTCAGTGGGGTAATTTTTTGATTAAACAAAATTCTGCGCACCTCCTGACTCCAGTGCCCACTACAAACCCTGCCCATCTCAGGGGAAGTCAATTTAACTGAAACCCTACCCCGTCATTGCAGTTATTACTGCGACAATTAAGGCAAATAGGAAACCATTAAGATGCTGTAAAATGGCTTACGACCTGTTTACCGAAAATATGAGCTCGAGAGAATAAGTGGCTCTACGCCCGCTCATATGAAAGATCGGGGACTGCCCCAGCCTGGGACCCAGGTCTGCACTGCTGGCAGCCCCCCCCCCCCCCCGCCGGTCCACACCTGAAACTTCAGGACCAGGAGAGAAAACCGGTTCACCAAGCGCTTTCCGTTGCCCCCTGCTGCAGTGAGCACCAGCAAATGTAAAACCACACTTTGGGCCGGCTCCCCGCCTGAGCCCAGGCGCTCTAAATAACCCCCAGTGGGAAAGAGGTGGACACCAGCAGGCGAAGAGGAGCTCCCCCCCCTTCACATACCACGGTTCACCCTGGAGAAGCTAAAAAAGGGCAGACCTGGATGCCAAATGACACCTCATCGTTTTCTTCCTTTGAAATACACATGTGTCAGAAATGCAAAAAGCAGGTCGGCCAGGTAGCTAGTTGATAGCACACACCGATTTTAAAAATTTATGTTCTTCTTTAAAGATGGTGAAGGGACCGGATGATATAGGGGAGGACCAACTTTAGCTCAAGGGATAACCAAGTGTAGTGCCTGCCAGCATCAGATCCACTCTTTTCTATGACTGCTCAGGAGAGTTTGGCAATTACTTGCCAGATCAACAACACTTGAGAGTTGGCTCGGGCCTCCTGAGCTCCGAGCAGGGAGCAGCGGTTCCTCCTCGGGTTCAAAGGGGCGGGCAGCCTTCAGCTTCTAAAACGCATATTGAAAAGCTGCACACGTCTTGAGCGAAGGAGCTGCCGGAGCTTAACAAGCTCTGCGCCCGGCAGACACCCATCCGTTCCTTGCTACCCACCGAGGGAGGTTTGCCTTGACGCTGGCTCCTCGCCTGAGCCCAGACCTTGGCCTTAGGGTGGCAGAGGAAGGCCCCCAGGCTGGCCAGCGCCCCAGGTTGGACGAACCAGCTGGGGCCCTTGGGGTCCAGTCATCTCACCTCTTTCCCCGAAACCCTTAAGGCAAGAGGGAAGTGGAGCATGACCAGGTGGAACACCCTGGCTGGACAGCCGTGCAAAGAGGAAAAGTCGCCCCCCCCCCCGCAGCCGTTTTGTCTACTGTCTGCCAGGCTGCCAGCAATCCTGCGCACCCCTGTAAACCCGCGTACAATAAACGAATGCTGGGCTTAACGTGGGTGTGGCAAGAGAGGACAGTGATGAGAGGGAAGATTCTGGCTGGTGCCCCGCAGATGTACAGACACCAAACCCTGCCCAGTTCTGACTTGCTTCCGTCCTTTCAGAAGTCCTCAAACCACAGAACTTGAATCTTTTTAAAGGCCTTCTCCGCAGGCAGGGGCTCCAGCCTCACTGTGAACAGCGAACAGCGTAACTGATACGCACCAGGCTCCTGGGGCATCAGGCGGGCGGGGGGGGCGGGCAGAGAGTGCGCACCACACAGAGGCCAAAAATAGCCCCTGTTTTTGCTTTGACCGCGAGGGCCCGCGGCGCTTCCTGCGCCTTGCCTGGGACCAGGCCGGGCCCGCAGCGCCTGGGGTCCGGCGTCTGTGTTCTGGGGTGCGCGAGCCTCCGAGGTGGCGCTTTCGGGCACTCTTTGGAGAGGCCATTTTTCTCTAACTAAAACTTGTAATTTGGGAAAAAAAATTACACTGGAGAGACTTTGGGAAGGAAAGGAATCATCCCAGTCCGAACTTAAAGGCCGGAGTAGGGGTGGGGTTGGGTGTGGGTAGTTTTTCGTGAGCAGGGGTGGGTGCGTTGGGAGGGCACACCTGGGCCGAGTCCAGGAGCCAAGTCCCTGCCCCGAACCCGGGGCCCCTGCCCGCCCGCCTTCCCTCGCCGGGGCCCGCTCGCGCTCTCCGCCAGCTACCGCCGCGCCCGCCCCTCTCGCCTACCTAGTGAAGACGTCTGGGTAGTGCGTCTTCTGGAAGGCCCGCTCCAGTTCCTCCAGCTGGTAGCTGGTGAACGTGGTGCGGTAGCGCCGCTGTTTGCGCTTCAGCAGCCCCTCCTCGGAATCGCTGCCCGCAGACAGACACACGCTGTCCTCGCCGTCCTTGCCCTCAGCGTCCTCAGGGTGCAGCAGGAGCTCCTCCTTAGGCGATAGCTCCCCGCCCTCGGTGGCCGCGGCGGCGGCGGCGGCGGCGGCGGCGGCGGCGGCCACCGCACCAGTGGCGGCCACGGCGCAGCGCCGGGGCTCCTTGAGCAGCGCGCGGGCGTCGTCCTCCAACAGCTCCTCCTCGTCGTCCTCCAACAGCTCCTCTTCCTCGTCTTCGTCCTCTTCATCCTCCAGCAACTCCTCCTCGTCGTCCTCGGCGCCCGTACCGCCACCCGCCGCCGGGGCGCCACCGGGGCCGCTGGCCGCGCCGAGGCGCTCGTCCGGGTGCGCGGCGCCCCCCGGGCCACCCAGCTCGTCCAGCGCGGGCGGTGGCGGCACGAAGGGCGCCCCGTTCTCGCGGTACGACTTGCTGCGGCTGATGCTCACCTGCGGTGCCTGGCTGATCTTGAGCGTGTCCCAGGCCGCGGCGGCGGCGGCCGCGGCGGCCACGGCGGCCCC